AAGGAAGAGGAGGAGGAGAAGGAGGAGAAAGAGGACGGGAAGGAGGAGGGGGAGGGGTAGGAGCAGGAGCAGGGGGAGGAGGAGGAGGAGGAAGAGGAGGTGGGGGGGGTGGAGGAGGAAGAGGAAGGGAGAGGGTGAGATCTGCAGGAGGAAGAGGAAGCAGGGGGAGGAGGAGTGAGTGAGTGACGCCAGTCGCGAAGCGTGAGATCGAGGACTACCCTCTGACCGCCCGCCCCCCCCCCCCCCCCCCCCCCCCCCCAAGCCTCTGAGCTCAGAAGAGGAGGAGGGGGGCGGGCCCTCGTTAAACTTGAAGCACGGCCCTGCGAGGAAGGAGCCCACCTGGCCGCCCATGAAGTAGCAGCGATGCCGAATAATGACACCAAAACCACCATTGGTATAGACAGATCCAGCTCCACCAGAATTCGGATTGAAACACCGACTATCACAGCTAACAGGGGAAGCGCCCACGCACATCAGCCGGGAGCCAGCGCACGCACCGATGAACGTTGGAGGTCGTAGAGCAGACACTCTGATCGCCAGAGCCTTCGACTACCAAACGCCGCGCCCGGGAGAACGAGGTCGAACGAAGCGAGTGACAGCAGCAAGAAAGAGACATCCGCGACCGCGACGCCTTCGGCCACCGAGGACGGCGCGAGAGCCTCGGCGGCCGCGACGTGGCTGTCGACGAAAAAAACACAGCAACAAGGTGAGACCACAGTTGCCAAACTTACTGCCTCATGCAAACCCTGCGCCCCAGGAATTACTAGTGGCAGCGCTGGAAACTGACCCCCAAAGCACCCAATTGCACATCGGGAATTACACAGTTGACTGCGCCACGAACACAAGAATGCCATAAGGCAAATGACACATGAAATAAAATGCGTCTGCCTTGCGCAAGCCAGCCTCAGCTACTCCGCCGCAAGATTTGTAGCGGCGCCGCAGCGGCTGCCGCGCCATCCGGCTGCGAAGGCCACTATTCTGCTTGAGACGCCCCAAACGTTATGCGCCATCGCTGCTCGCCGATGGACCTGGAAAGGCTGGGGCCCAAACCGCAGCCCCAGCGAAGAACCACGTGGCCGCCGCGTTGACCGACGCATGAGGCTGGAGTTGATCGCGCGGAAAGCCCGTCTCTGTGAATAATGTGCCGTTGGCCCCTTGTGCGAGGTGCGTGTTCATGATATGCTGGGTCATCCGATCTGTGGCATACGAGTCGTACTCATCGTAGCTGTTGGCTCGGTCCTGACTTCCCATGAACTTGGCGGTGAAGATGCGCAGCGCCGTGGGTGCCACCAAAGACCGTGACGGGCGACCGATAAATTGATGAAGGCGACTAAGCACCTGCATCCCACAAGTCAAACTGAGAGCGACCTCCCATTCGCCAACGAAGAACACCTGCACGCCGTGAACTGTTGCTGCCGCGCACAGGCTGATCAGGTCGAGAAGCCCGCGCTCGTTGACGTGCGCGTCGGGGGAGATGGGTCCTCCTCAAAGCCCGCGTGCAACGAGTCGGTCTCCACCGGCCAGGTACTGCAGCTGATCGCCCTCGCCCAGGTAGCACTGATTCGGACGAAGCCCCGCGATTGGACAGACAGGTGACACCGCCGAAAGATAAACGCCGAACTTCAGAATACCTGTCTGCCTGCAAAGGGTATTCACTGTAGCCCGCGGCAACTGGCCCACCATGGCCCAGAATGCGATGGCCTCGAAGTAGCTCCTCCGCTCGTTGGGCGCAGGCGAGAACTTGCCATGC